CATGTAAAAAAAAAAAAAATCTTCATCACCCCCCACAAGTAGTACAATGTCACCATGGTGACACTGTACTGCTAGGGTGACAGTATGTAAAAAAAAAAAAAAAAAAAACAAATATAAAAAAATTAAAAAAAGTAAAAAAAAGTTTAAAAATTATAATTTTTGGTTATAAACTAATTTGGGTTATTTTATTTTTTAACTAAAAAGATAACCGGACTACATTTTGGCCAAGATTTATGATGAAATATCATTTATTTGCAAAATTTTATAAGAAAATCACTTTTTTCTAAATTTTTGGATATTTTCATTTATATAGCAAAAAAATAAAAATCCCAGTGGTGAATAAATACCATCAAAATAAAGCTTTATCTGTCTCAAAAAAATGCTAAAAAATTCATATGGGTACAGTGTTGCATGACCGCGCAATTGTCATTCAAAATGTGATAGGACTGAAAGCTGAAAATTGGCCTAGACAGGAAGGTGGTAAAAGTGTCTGGACTGGAAGTGGTTAAGGATACATCTCATTCATCCATGCACCTGCTGTCCACCAAGGCTTGCCAGAGAATAAGGACTAATGATATGCTCATTTACTCTCATCCTTGTGAGTATATGTTAACCCTTTCCTTTACTTGTTTTTAATTAAATACACTTAGATGGTGGCAACTTCTGTTTGTTTATTGTTTTAGTGCACAAAGATATCCAGTACACTGTTAGAAGAGCTGCAGCCATTATAGAAGTGGATTAACACACCTGGATCTACCATACAGAGACTATGGCTTCTTGCTTGGGACTTAATCACTCTTTCTCTATTTGCACTATAGAGTTTTAAAAAATATTTTCTACTTCATTTTAAGGTAAGTCTCTCGTAAGTCTCTCATAAGGTGCTAGCATGCAGTGCATACAAGTACATTATAACTTTGCCTTGCAGGGGAGAATCTTTTTTTTTTTTTCAAACTTTTTTACAGAAAATATATCACAAACCAGATATAAGCAACAGTAAAATAAAAGGGCAAAAGTAATAAAAAAACAATTACTGAAAATGATATTCAACCCAAAAGTAAACCTTTAATATTTTGTAGCTTGCCTTTTCGTACATGTAATTGCTGCAATTGTTTTCTTTTTTAGGCTTTCTTTCTTTCTGTCCATTAAGTATGTTGCTTTGCAAAAGAACAAGTTCTCCTACAAATGTATCAATTATGAGTGTTGAGAAAAACCATTGTCAAGGGTACTTACAATGATCAGCTTTTATTTATTAACATAAAATCTTTATTCCAAAAAAAAGAAAAGTGTTTCTGTAACTGCTTGTGTAACTGCAGTGTGAGCTAGAGTTTGGTAGTTTAAATCTACTATTCCATCTAATACTCCCCTCCTCTCAGATTAACAGTGTTAATGTCTGCTGTGTCCCTGTGCTCCTTCAACCAGAATGCAGACACTCTAATACAGGAGGTGTATTACTGGCCAGGTCATCAGGTGAAAACAGAGGGAAAAAAGCCTTTAAAAAGAAAAAGCAGCCACCACATCTAAGCTGAAAAATATAAAATGTTTGGTTTTGGGTTTAATACCTTTTTAAGTGGAATGCTGCCTGGTCTTGATACAGTACAGAACTTGCTTTTCGTGAAGAGTAAAGCTAGTCTAATTTTGTTAAAAAATTCAAATTTTTTAACTTTTTGTCTCATTTTCCAATGGTTTTTGAGGTCAAATAGATGTAGTGATGAGAAAATATGAAGGAGCAGAATGGACATTTTTACTTAAGTATAACTAAAGGCAAAACTTTTTTTTTTTAGTTTTGGATAGAGTGGAGATGGATTAGAACACCTGTCAATCTTTCTTTCCTGTCTGTGCCCCCCGTTATGAAAAGTCATCCTCTCTATCTGTTTTATTTACCATTTTGAAAATTCCATTTATACCAACATTGAATGTTAAAAGCAAAGTTTTGAAGTACTTTTGAACGACATTCATAAAGTATGAATGTTCAATAGAAAATCTATCAGCTAATGGACGGGTTAAGTCCAGTCTGATATGGAAGAATCACTGGCCCCCATAAATGAATTTTACCATTCCTTTATAGTTTCGATGGTAAAACAGTAGGTGTCTATGGTAGTCCTGGTGGGAGGCCAGTGAGCAGTGCTACTTTTAAATGCCATCATCTGGGTTGTCTGTTCTGTCAATAATGTGTCTGGCCAGAAGTTTGGGATCTGAGAACTTTTCAATGGAGGATGGACAGCAGATGGCAGTGGAGTTTCATACTTATACAATTTATAAGCATTGTTTATAAATGGGAAGATTATCCCAGGAAGCCTGTTTGCGTTGGCACAAGAGTGGAAGGCAATTATCTGTGGCGAGTGCACTTCCATGTGGGGGATTTTGTGAAGCACTCAGTTATCAATAAACAGCACGTGGTGAAGTTAAAGAAAAAGAATTAATTTTTATGGACTTTCGATAACTATATTATATTTTATATTATTTTGTGTGCACATTAATTCATGGACGCTAAATTTGTTTGATTGTTCAAATTCATTTTGTGGTTTTCACTATATCATTTTATTATTATTAATTTAGCGCCACTATAGCACTATATATATTATGTGTTGTGTGTTCATTTATTTATTACGGTTTATGTAAAGTGGCAGCTCTTTGTTGGTTGATTATTTTGATTACATTCAGCGCAATTTAATAGGTGTTGATAGTTATCACAATTTCATAATTTTATTATCACATTTATTACTTTAAATATTATTTTGTATTTTATTAATAGTCCTGTATAATAATAATAATAATATGAAATAAATCAAGGGTGAAAAACAAACAGCATGTTTTGTAACAGATACCATTGCAATAAAATGTCTGCACGCAGAAAGATTATCTAAGAGATACAGGTAGATGGTCAATATTTTGCACTTATAGATCTGGTAAAAATATTCATGATCAAATATTATTACACGTGTGAGATTATGCTTTATTTGTAATGCAGGCAGGTGATTTATGTAAGTGATGTAATCTAATTAAGGATTGCTTGTAAAATGCAAGCCATGCTGGGATTAATTGCCAAGTGATAATATTCAGCTGCAGTGTTGATAATCTGCAAACAGCAAAGTTGTTTTGTATCTCACACAGATTGAAAATGCCCATTGGTAGAGCAATACCTTGGTCTCACTTGCTTTACATTTCCTTTTTTTCTCTAAATGAGTTTGGAATTCCCTTCACTCGTAGGAAATTCAGGTCATCCCACAGAATTTTTCTGTTCCCAGAACTACCAAGGGCTCTTGGACAAAAAAAAGCCATGCTTAAAAAAAGCATATATCAATGGACTTATAGAGATATTGCCATGAAGGAAGAATGAGAGCTATGGGGGTAGGATGGATGGGAGCAGTGGGGGGAAAAAAGGATGGATGAAATGAAGTAAAAGAAAAAAAGGAAAAAGGAAAGGAAGGAAGAAAGCAAGGAATGACGAAAGGAGGAAGCTAGGGAAGGAAGTAAGAATGGAAAGACAAAGGAATGGAAGAAAAAAAGGGAGGAAAGGATGAAAGGAGGGAGATAAGGAAGGAAGAAAGAAAGGAAAGAAAGGAATGGTGGGGGGGGGGGGGGGGGGGGGGGGGGGAAGAAAGGAACGAAAGTATGAAATGGGGACATAGGGAAAGGAAGTATAAGCAAGGGGAAGGAAAGACATTAGAAAGGAAAGAAAAAGGAAAAGAAAGGAAATATGTAGCATTTTCACCTCTGCCTTACAATTATATACAATTTTGCAACAAGCATTGTAGCAGCTTTGCAGAAATGACCCCTTTTCTTTCCAGTTTCATATAAAAAAGTTTCTTGATATGACCAAGGATTTTACCAATGGTAAATGGGAAGGAATAAACAAACTCAGCGTTGATTCACAAAGGCTTACAAATTCAACCTAAAGAGTATGTAAACCCAACATTTCATAGTCCTGATATGTGCCTGCTGTACCATGTAGTTGTATAAAAAAGTATCCTGTTCTCTTTATATTGCTTCCTTTATGTGAAATCCCTGGTGTTCCTGCCAGTCCCTCTGTAGTGAGTTCTCTAGCTATGCTGGAAACTCAGCCTGCTCCCCTCCAATGATCAGACTTATCCTGACATACCTACCCTTTCACTGGGAAGATTGGTGTAATGCTGTTTCTCCTTCCTTAGCTTTTATGCAACTGAGAACAGAGGGATGTGCTCACTTATAAAACATGGAAAAAGGTATTTAAAATATTTTTTATATATATATAGACACGTTTTGCCTTATTTATATTTTAAACTGAAAAATGCTGTTTTACAAGGTGAGGGTTTTACTTTACATATTGCACGAATGCTTGATATGTTGTTAAATGCTTATTTTTACATCGGAAAGAAGAATAAAGCAACCAAATGCATGTACTCCTGCGCTGGACAGTGGATTTGATTTTACTTCACAAGAGAAGTAAAATCAAATGGAAAGCATGTCAAAGAGGATGCAATGTGGTCCAAAACCCCTGGAAGTAGTCTGGTGGGGGAATGGAGACCTCTAGATAGCTGGTGGTTGATGTGTTTCAAGGATGTACCTGGCTCTGAGGAAGAATTACAACCTCGAAACGTGTCAGTAATTTGATTTTACTTCTCTTGTGAGTATTTTACTATTTATAATAAATCTCATTTTTAAAGGTAATGCACTAGACACATAAAATGACTATTTAACTATTGACACCCCCCCCCCAGTTATGCATTTTATATTACCTTGATACTTCTCTGCCCTTTGCACTGTTCAAGAACATGTTACCCCAACATTTAAAATTCCCGATATGTGCCTGTTGTACCATGTACATGTTAAAAGGTATCCTATTCACTTTGTATTGCTACCTTTGTGTGAAATACCTGGTGTTCTTCTTGCCAGTCCCACTGCTTTCCTATTTCAAACTGACCACTCTAGGTATAGAAGCTCATCCATCCCAGTGTGGTCAGTTATCTGAATGTGCTGGGAGAAAAGCCTAACTGTCCTCCAATTATCACACTTGTGCTGACCCCCCCCCCCCATACAGACTTTCATGGGGAATATCAGTGTACTGCTGGTTCTCCAAGTTTTATAAAAAAAAGGGAAAAAAGTGTTTACACAAATTTTTTAAACTGAATGGGTTGTTTTACAAGGTGAGGGTTAACATCTACATTAGCACTAAGCAAAATATAATCTTTGTTAACTGATGTTTTCATACAAATTACCACACAATTCTGTAATATAACTCACATGGTCATTTCAGCAGATCCATGTAATAAAAACTTTGAAATGTCCAAATAATGCAAACTAACGACAATATGTTTTGCATTGTGAATTTGTGAATTGACCTGAATCTGAAAAAAAAAATGTTGAAAAATCTCTATGCCAGTGTAATACTTTGAGGCATCCAAGGTTGAAATAGAAGCACCCTCCTTTCCCAATATAATACATCTGCTTATTAACCTAGGGAGGTTGAAGGGTATAGTTAATACCACGGCCCAGCAGTAGAAGCAATGAAGAGCAGAACGTTTCACATCTGTCACTCATATCTGACTATATACAGATTTCCTTTGGTCTTTTTAAATAGATTAACTTTGACAGCGCACATGAAGAAGTTAGAGAGATGATAACAAACAGAACACACACATTAAATTAAGGTGGAAAAATGAGAAAGTAAATGAGTATATGCACTCTTCTACAACAAAACCATTAACCCCATTAGTGTGTGAAATAACGAAGAAGATAGTTACCATAACATTAATTTAGATGTTCTTTTCCTATTGGGAACAGTCAATCAGCTTCTCAGGAATCTATAAAGTTATGCTGCAATTTCTAAAACTAAAGTAACAACATATACTTATATTTTAAAGGACAAGCAATAAATCATGCATGAGCAAAATGTAGCAACAAGCAACTGGGGACCTTAACTACTTGCCCTCCTGAGGATTTACCCCCTTCATGACCAGGCCATTTTTTTGCGTTACGATGCTGTGTTACTTTAACTGACAATTTCTCGGTCATGCAACGCTGCACCCAAATGAAATTTACATCCTTTTTTTCCCACAAATTGAGCTTTCTTTTGGTGGTATTTTATCACCTGTGCAGTTTTAATTTTTTGCACTATAAGCAAAAAAAGACTGACAATTTTAAGAAAAAAATTATATTTTGGACTTTTTGCTATTAAACATGTCCAGTAAAAAAATGTAAAAAATCTAATTTCTTCATAAAAATGTTGGCCAAAATGTATTCTGCGACATGTCTTTGCTAAAAAAAAAATCCCAATACATGTAAATAAATTTGTTTACGTGAAAGTTATAGTGTTTACAAATGGCGGTATAGATAATGGGATTTTTTTTCTACTAGTAATGGCGACAATCAGCAACTTTTAGCGGGACTGCATTCTTACACGGGGGGGAACTAACTTGGTGTCACTGTGACACCAATACAGTGACCAGTGCAAAAAAAAAAGCACTGACACTGTACTAATGGCACTGGGCAGGAAGGGGTTAATGTGAAGGGTGATCATAGGGTTAACTATGTGCTGGGAGTGTTTTACTAGGGGGCAGGGGGTGTGTGCTTCGCTGTAAGCACATTGATCGAGATGGCTGTACTGTGCACAGCCATACCAAGCTCGAGTTGACAGGGAGGTAGATTGTTTATAAACAAAACAATCTTCCTCCCCGTCGGAGATGCTCGGTAATCACCGGGCGCCAGTGGGTAATTAACGGCCGGGACCTGGTGAAGAATATATTTTTAAAAAAGTTTTTTCATATATTTTATAATATATATTATTATTATACAGGATTTATATAGCGCCGACAGTTTGCTCAGTGCTTTACATTATGGTGGGAGACAGTACACAAGACAATACAGTAACAATACAATTCAATACAAGAGGGGTTCGAGGGCCCTGCTTCTTGGAGCTTACAATCTAGGAGGGCGGGGATAGTGATACAAGAGGTAATAACTGTGGGGGATGGAGTGGTTGGAAGAGTAGAGGATTTCAATATTAGCTGAGGGCGGGGTAGGCTTCTCTAAAGAGAAAGGTTTTCAGAGTGCGCCTAAAAGTGAGCAGAGTAGGCGATAGTCTGTTGGATTGGGGTAGGGAGTTCCAGAGGATGGGGGGGAAGCCCTGGAGAAGTCCTGGAGACAAGCATGGGAGGAGGACACAAGGGAGCTAGAGAGTAGGAGGTCTTGTGAGGAGCGGAGAGTACGGTTTGGGTGATATTTGGAGACAAGATTGGTGATGTAATTTGGGGCAGTGTTATGAACGGCTTTATACGTCAGTGTTAGCATTTTGAATTTTATCCATTGGGCAATTGGAAGCCAGTGGAGGGATTGGCAGAGAGGGGTGGCAGATACGGAACGGTTAGTAAGGTGGATGAGTCTGGCAGCAGCATTCATGATACACTGAAGTGGGGATAGCCTGCGGTGAGGTAGGCCAATGAGGAGGGAGTTACAGTAGTCGAGGCGTGATATAATAAGGGAGTGAATAAGTTGCTTAGTGGTTTCCGAGGTTAGGAACGGTCGTATTTTGGAGATGTTGGGAGGTGAAGTCTACATGCGTTTATCAGCGATTGACCCTGGGGCTGGAAGGACAAATTGGAGTCTAGCATGACACCTAGTACCGTGGCTTGAGGGGTGGGACTGATGATAGTGTTGTTGGTCTTGATGGAGAAGTCGGGGGGGGGGGGCGGGGCTGGGGGGAATACTAGGAGCTCAGTTTTGGAAAGATTGAGTTTGAGGAAGTGGAGTGACATCCATGCCGATATGTCGCTTAGTAGGCTTGTGATACGAGCAGAGACTGAAGGGGTGAGGTGAGGGGTAGAAAGATAGATTTGTGTGTCATCAGCATAGAGATGGCAATTGAAGCCGTGGGAATTTATCAATTGGCCAAGGGAGGAGGTGTAGATGGAGAAGAGAAAGGGTCCGAGGACAGAACCTTGGGGGACCCCAACAGAGAGAGGGAGTGAAGAGGAGGTGGCAGCGTTATAGGTAACACTGAACGAGTGCTGTGGTAGATAGGAGGAGAGCCAGGAGAGAGCGGAGTCTCTGAGGCCAAGAGAGTGTAGTTTTTTGAGGAGGAGGGGGTGGTCAACAGTGTCAAAAGCCGCAGAGAGGTCGAGGAGTAGGAGTACTGTATAGTGGCCATTGGTTTTGGCGGCTAGTGGGTCGTTGGTGAGTTTGAGTAGGGCAGTTTTGGTGGAGTGTAGGGGGCGGAAGCCAGACTGTAGAGGATCGAGGAGGTTGTTGTCAGTGAGGTGGGAGCTCAGGCGATTATAGACTAAGTGCTCTAGGAGTTTTAGATGTGAATGGCAGCAGGGAGATGGGTCTTAAGTTGTTCAAGTCTGTGGGGTCCAGGGAGTGTTTTATGGGAGTGATGTGCACGTGCTTTAGAGGGGAGGGGAAGGTGCCAGTAGAGAGGGAAAGATTCAAGATGTGGGTGAGGGAGCGTAGGATGGAAGAAGAGGGTGACCGTTGGAGTTGTGAGGGGACAGGGTCCAGGGGGCAGGTGGTGAGGTGGGCTTCTGAGAAGACCTTAGTGACCTCTTCAGTAGTAGCGAGGTTGAAGGAGTGGAGTGTTGAGGGGGTTTTAGTGTGAGGAATGCTAGGTGGGGTGGAAGTCTGAGCAGTAGCGATCTCCCTACATATTGCATCAATCTTTTTTGAAGTGGTTAGCAATCTCGTGGGCGGTGAGTACTGGGTGGAGGTGGGGGCGGAGAAAGTAGAGAGTTAAAAATATATAAAAAACACATCTCAACATGCAGCATATATATATATATTTATATATATACACACCGCATGTTGAAATGCGTTTTTTTATATAATACAAAATATATGAAGAATATTTTTAAAAATATATATTTTTAAAATATATTCTTCAGATTTTTTTTTAACATATAAAAAAGTAATTTTAACATATATTTTTTACAAATATTTGTAAATTCATTCCAAAAAATGTAGCTTTGTATTTTTAAAGACAGAGAGTGTATTTTTAAAAATAGTTTTCATATTTATTTATTTATTTATTGAAATATATTGAATATGGTCAAAATTGTAGTATTTAAAATATATGTAAATATATTTGGGAAGAATATTTTTAAAATATATTTCAAATTAATTTTTCTTCCATGTGGGAATGACTACCAATATGTGGTGACTTCCCCCTATAGAACATTGACGGTGTCCTGATCCATGGCAATCCTCTTAAAAGGGACCTCAGTTTTTAAAGTATTTGTATTTGTATTAATTATTTAACAGGTTTTAATTTGTTTAACTTTATTGTTATTACAAAGGGCCTAACAAATCCCCAAATGTGATGATAAAATGGGCAGATCACAAGTTAGATCCACAATGTCTCCTTTGCCCTCTGCTGGAGCTAATGAACTGAAATGGAAGTGACAAAATGCTTGCTGCTTTAGTGTTCACTCATCAGACAGGAGATTAGGAGAGCAGATGTTCCTCGATCTCCTAAAGAAATAAAGTGATGAATAGAGTCCAAGGTGTATAAACACCGCAGTGATGGCTCAAGAATCCAGTCCTAAAAAAATCACCATCACGTAGAGCCTGTGCTCATGGAGCTTGTGCTTGTGACATCATTGGGTATTCAGACCTAAGAAGTGGCCTATGTGATCCCAGGGACAGATGTTTTTGATAAGCACTGTTACTATTTTGATTTTGTGAGTGTATAGTACTTTTACAATAAACAATTGTCTGGCAGTTTTACACTATGTGGCTATGCTTGATGTTTCCTGCATAAGTTAATGGAATGGAATGCTGACTTGTGACCGCCATGAATGCTTATTTGAAACTTTTGGAATGTTTGATCCTGTGAGTGGAGAAAAGTGGAAACCTATTGAGTTGGGTCCAGCCCAGGGGCGGACTGACCATTTGGAAACTCAGGCACTGCCCGAGGGCCCGGGGTCAGTAGGGGGCCCCATGAGATGCCCCTGGTACCTTTTTCATAGGCTATTTTGAGTTTGGGCAAAGATACAGGGGCCCCATGATCCCCTATTGCCTGGGGACCCCATGAGTTGTCAGTCCGCCCCTGGTCCAGCCTATTGAAAGGTAG